TACGTGAATGGATTAAGGGAAAAAACCCATCTTTTTGTTGTCTGCAAGAAACTCATCTCACTTTCAGGGACAGATACTATCTTAAAGTGAAAGAATAGAAAAAAATATACCAAGCAAATGGTAATAAGAAAAAAGCAGGCATAGCAATTCTAATATCTGACAAAATAGACTAAGACTAATCAGAAGAGATAAAGAGGGCCACTTCATTCTGATCAAAGGAACAATAAATCAAGATGTTACAGTCATGAACGGAATATTCACCAAACTCTGGTGCACCCAACTTCATAAAAACAACACTACAGGACTTTAAGACCCAGATTAATCCCAACTCATTAATAGTAAGGGACTTCAATACCCCACTGTCTCCATTAGATAGGTCAATAGGACAGAGAATTAACAGACATCTGAATTAAAAAATACCGTATATCAAATGAATTTAACAGACATCTACTGAGTATTCCAACCAAGCACATACTTTCTACTCAGCACCCCATGGAACCTTCTCCAAAATCGACCATATACTGGGGCACAAAACAAACCAACAAATACAAAAAGATTGAAATAATTCCATGCATTCTATCAGACCACAGTGCAATAAAGCTTACAATCAACACCCGAAGAAGCCCTAATCACCACATGAACACATGGAGATTAAAGAACACACTCCTGAATGATGAATGGGTCAAAAGAGAAATTAAGAAAGAAATAAAAGTATTCCTGGAACTAAATGAAAAGGACAATACAACACAACAAAATCTCTGGGACACATTGAAAGCAGTCCTTAGAGGGAAGTTTATAGTTCTAAGTGCCTATATAAAAAATCAGAAAGAACACAAATAAATGACTTAACATTGCAACTCAAGACACTTGAAAAACAACAATAAATGAAACCCAAACCCAGCAGACAAGAAGAAATAACAAAAAACCAAGGCAGAAATTAAGGAAATTGAAATAAAACAATACAAAGAATCAACGAATCCAAGAGCTGGTACTTTGAAAAGATAAACAAGATTGACAGACTGCTAGCCCGGGTATCCAAAAGAAAGAAAGAGCACCTCCAAATCTGCCGGTGCCAGCTGGCCAAGATGGACAATACCTGAAAGGGGGAGTGAGTATTGAAAGAAAAAAACCAGAGACAGAGAAAAGATACTTGGGAGGACTGTCAGTAGAGACTGCAGCCCCGGTTTATTTTAGCTCCGCCTTTTTATACAGTAGGACATTAGAGCTAGCCACCATTTGCTTAACTCAATTAGCTTCAACAGCTGTTTTTCCCACCTGTATCTGAGGGTCAAGGAGCAGTCAAATACTTGTTGTGAACTCCACTGTATAAACACATTCCTCCTGACTTAGCAGATTAGGTACTGGTGTGCAAAGCACAACCTCTAAGTAAACAAGCAAGCCTGCCACAGCTCAGTGTACATAATGGA